TTTCTACCGCTTTGTAAACTGTTTCATATTTAATATTTAAGTTCCGATACAACTTTTTGTGCATAAGCTTTTGCACGCTACTTAACTTAAAATGTGCATCTTTTTCATATATACAGGTTGGATGTCTTGGGCCTGCATGAGTTTGATAGTTGGCGCAAAAGAATGTCAGTTGTTATCAGATTTCCCGACAATACTGTGAAGGTATTGGTCAAAGGTGCTGATACTTCTGTGTTTAGCATATTGGCAAAAGATGCAGGAAGATCAGATCAGATTAGGCAAGCAACTCAGAGCCATTTGACAGAATATTCTTCACAAGGTTTACGCACCCTTGTAGTTGCTTCAAGAGATCTTACAGATGCAGAGCTTGAGCGATGGAAATGCTGTTACGAAGATGCAAGTACCTCTTTATTTGATAGAGGTGCAAAATTACACCAAACAGCAGCTCTTATAGAGTGTGACTTAACTTTACTTGGCGCAACTGGGATAGAGGACAAGCTACAAGAAGGTGTACCAGAAGCCATTGAGGCCCTAAGACAAGCAGGAATAAAGATCTGGGTACTAACTGGAGATAAACAAGAAACAGCAATTTCAATAGGTCTCTCTTGCAAGCTTTTGGCCACTGATATGCAGCAGATAATTATAAATGGTGATTCTGAGGAGGAATGCAGAAATCTCTTGGCCAATGCAAAGGCTAAATATTGTCTGAAGTCATCAAATGGAAAAGATCAAAGTTATAACTGTAAGAAGAATAGTGAACATGATCATCTTTCAATATCTGATGATACAAAATCATCCACTGCACGCCAATTGGATGAAAGGAAGGAAGAAGAAATGGGTTCTGCACCACTTGCACTCATAATTGATGGAAGTAGTTTGGTCTACATTTTAGAAAAAGATCTTGAGTCAGAGGTGAGACTCCTCTCTGTCTTCAGAATATCTGCTGGTGTGTGTGAGCATTGTTGTACTGTCTTATGCATTATATGTGGTCCGTGCTAAGCATTTACTGTTTCCTTCACGTTTGAACAGCTTTTCGACCTTGCAACTTACTGTAGGGTTGTCCTATGCTGTCGTGTCGCACCATTGCAGAAAGCTGGGGTCGTTGATTTGGTCAAGAGTCGAACTGATGATATGACACTGGCAATTGGTGATGGTGAGTTGTTTTTTGATTTTTCCTTTTAGTTTAAAGGAGAGTCATAGATGAGGTCTTGTCCAATTAACTTGCATTAGGTTTGTTACTGTCTGACCTTGGAGCAGAAATTTAATTTTGGGATGTTGATCGCTAGTAGGATATTGTAATTTGCATGCAGCTGAATGGTCCATTTTGCAATTTATATGTCTCACAAACTGTTTTTCTGTTTCTTTGATGAAAAACTTTTTTTTTCCAGGAGCCAATGATGTTTCAATGATCCAAATGGCGGATGTTGGAGTAGGAATCTGTGGTCAGGAAGGGCGTCAAGCTGTGATGGCATCAGATTTTGCAATGGGTCAATTCCGGTTTCTGAAAAGATTACTTCTAGTTCATGGCCATTGGAATTATCAACGTGTTGGTTATTTAGTTCTCTACAACTTCTACCGCAATGCAGTTTTTGTTTTGATGCTATTCTGGTACGTAGTTTTTTAATAGAATTCTTGTGGTATATATTATTTTTCTGCTATTATGGAATGAAGTTTACTCTGCAGATGAAATGGGTGGCTGTTTTGTCTTTTTCTGGACAGAGATTCTGTTTCATACTTAGCAGTTTATACGATCATATTTTTCTTTGTCTTTGTAAATGACATGGATAAGAATACTTTAAATATTATAGCATTGTTACTTACAGGAGTAAGATTGTATTTTAGATTTGGATTTCTATTTAGATTAAGATTTCACATTTATATTCTTGCACGTCTCCCAACTCCAAGTTGGATCAGGCAGATCCGTGCAATCCAACCAGGGAGCGGTCCATACAGATCCAGTGCAATCATGGGGATCATGGGGAGAGTAAGAAACCAAATCTGTCCAGGCTCCATTTCCAGTTAGGAATTTACAGGATTAGTCCTACAGAATTCCTTTATATGTTAGAAGTTTCTTAACAGTTTTATTTAATTAGGATTTTGTAATAAAATAGCAAATTCTTATGACTAGAAAATCTTATTGTTAGGAAGTTATTGTCTGGTAAAAGAGAGATCTTCTGATAAAGTAGATAATTCGTGGTAGACTGTAGATTTTGTAGACTTCATATGCATCAATTTAACTTCTCATAAGCTTGAACTATATCACATCCTCGTGGATGAGATGAAGCAAAACTCATTGAGGCTTTTTGTAATTTGTCAGTAGTTAAACAATAATGTCAAAATGTAGAAACCTTATGTGTATCGAGAATATACTATCAGATACGAAATCCTGATTACATTATTTGTTTGGTTTTCTGGGGATAAAATGGAATTGATACATTGGTATATTTTCAGGGGAAGGCACAAATTTTTTAATCAATTTGAGTGTTTTTCTGTTGTCAGCCTCTGACCTAAATAGACTAGGGAAGTACCAAGCAACTCTGTTATGCTCTTTACTGCCTTATAAACAAAACAATTTAACTGCCAAAGAGTTTTAAATTCAAGTTATGCTTTTCCTGGTTGTTTTGAGACTTTTAGAGATCTTCATCAGATGACCTAGTTTGTCTTGTTGATGTTATGTAGTTGTAAATCATAAATTTCATGGGCCAAAAGAGGTAGCATCCGTAGTATTCCAATTTTGTTTATAAATTAGACTTTCATTTGTTTCTTACACACATCACTGAAAGAACCATGATATTTTGTTGACATGTTTTTTTTTTTGTCTTCCATTTTAATAAATGATTCAGGAAGAGTTATGTATGATTTGCTTTCTTTTTATAGGTATATACTGTTGACAGCTTTCTCAACAACCTCTGCATTAACAGATTGGAGTAGTGTTTTTTACTCTGTAATATATACTTCTGTCCCTACCATTGTTGTTGGTATTTTGGACAAGGACTTGAGCCATAAGACGCTACTAAAGTATCCAAAACTCTATGGTGCGGGACATAGACATGAGGCCTACAATATGCACCTTTTCTGGATCACAATGAGTGACACACTGTGGCAGAGTCTCGTTCTCTTCTATATACCTTTATTCACCTATAAGGAGGGAACAATTGATATATGGAGCATGGGTAGTTTGTGGACTATAGCAGTTGTTGTCCTTGTTAATGTGCACTTAGCAATGGACATTCAGCGCTGGGTTTTTATTACTCATGTAGCTGTTTGGGGATCCATTATAATCACATATGCTTGTATGGTGGTAGTGGATTCCATTCCAATCTTCCCCAATTACGGGTTAGTTTCTAATTTCTGATGGTCTATGCTTTTGCCCCATCTTACTCAGGTTTTATTGGAGCTAATTGTATTTTTTACATATCTTTGGCAGGACCATCTTCCATCTGGCAAAGTCACCCAGATATTGGCTCACCATTTTGCTCATAACAATTGTGGCACTATTACCTCGCTTTCTTTTTAAAGTTGTACATCAAATTTTTTGGCCTTCAGATATCCAGATTGCCAGAGAAGCTGAGATACTGAAAAAACGAGAAAATTTGAGGTCAAGAACTGATCAAGGTTCCAGTTGACATGTTACACCTCTTGTGGATGTGGATTTCCTTGACTTTTATGGCTCCTATGTTCTTTTGTGGTGTGCAGTGAAGGCTTGAAGGTATGTCCCTGATTCTAATGATTTTATTTGTTGTAGGTCTTTGTATTGGGTAGATATTGAACTTGTAATCTAAGGTGACTTCTCTTTTTGGCTCAGAAACTGTTAATCTAAGGTGACTTGATTCCATACTAAGTTTTGTTGACTTGTAAACTTATGATTTGACTTTTTTTCCCAAAATTCTCTTTGATTGCTGTGTATATTAAGGCTTTGTTTGGTAAATGTTAATCTTTAGGAATAGAAATAGGAAGAACAGTTACTTGAAACTTTGTTCAATTGTTGTTTGTTAAACAAAAAACTAGTTAAGAATGGTAGAAGCATTAAGACTTCTCTATCTCGCTCTCTCTCTCTACTCATCTGAGAATCATTACAGACTAGACATCACACCTTTCCTCTTCTCTAATAAGTTCATAGTCATAAGAGGAAGTCTTTCTACATTGTCCTAGAGGGGGAATTGGTCAACACTCTTAGGCTCATGGATTGTAGTTTCCAGGGGCTTTTTTTCGTTTTTAAGATAAAAGAGAGTAAATGTATTAAAATGGCGCCAAGGGGGTGGACTCATGTACAAGATATAGAGAGAAATTTACAGATCTGTGAGAATATCTACAGTGTGGTTTCCAGTTTTGTTTCTCCCTTTACCTTTTCACTCTGGACATTTAGGTGGCTTTTTCTTTTCTAGTCTTCATGTGATCACTTTTGGTTGGCGAGGCAAGGTGTCACGGAGTTGGATATTCCAAGGAGAGAGGACGGCTCAGTCAGATTGGGAAGGACTTATTGGGGGAACTCTTTAGAAGATAGAGAAATAAAGAGGTATGTAAAGGAGGACCAATTAAGATCAATTTGTGTACTTACGGATTCGGAAATAAACACTTGGACATCACACCTAACATTTCATAAAAAGTAGTTTTAAGCATCACATTTACATCACAACCAGAAAAATGAGAAAATTCTCAAAGAATTTTTCATTGAATAAATGAATTGTCATACAAAGGAGATTATAAATGTACTTATAATGTTTACTAAGTTCCCAAATATGATTAAATTAAAAAATACGAATAAGAATAATCTCAGACCATTTCCTATTTGCCTTGATTCGGATAGGATAAAATGGAGCTGTACCCATAAATGATTGAATGTAATGGTTTTGGTAAAAAGATTCAAAAGTGGTGGAGGGGAAAAGAGGTCAATAGCAAGGCTTGCCACAGGCTAGCGAGTAAATTAAAGGCGATAAAATCTGCTACTAAGGAATGGGGTAAAGAGGAGCAGAGGAAGAGCATGGATATGCAAGGTTTGTTTCATGATATGCAGCTATAGACAAATTGGAACAAAGAGGGAGCTATCCATTGAAGATATATTGCTAGAAAGGAACGGTAAGATTGAATTGACGATTAGGTTGCAAAGGGAGGAGGTAGAATGACGACTAAATCGAGAGTGAGGTGGATTAAAGAATGGGACATAGCACGAGGTTTTTCTATTGTATGGCTAATCATCATAAAAGATGTAACTATGTGGAAACAATAGAGACTGATGAAGGGAGGTGAGGGGTAATGAAGATCTGACGCACGGGTCAAGGAATATTTTTGTAAATTGTATTGTGAA